TTCTGGCTGTCTGTAAATAAAGCAAAGCCACTTCCTCGTCCGACATTAAACAGAGCCCGACAGAGGAGGGAGGGGCGGGGCGGCTGTCGCCGTGCAGCGCAGATGTCCTACGTCTGACCTCAAAGTGCACAAGCTTCAAACTTCAGCGTTGGCTGCGATTTTGAAGCTGAAATCGCGTTCGGTGTGAACGCACCATTAGTCTCTTGGAGGAGAGACTAAACGTTTCATTAGAGATGAACCCGTCCAGAAGACCTATACAATTTTTTTTCTTTTTGATTTTTTACCTGGATTACTGAGATGCATCAGGACATGTTTTTATTGTTCAAAAACAAATAAAAAAAAATAAATCTATCCAGATACAAAGGAAGCCATTGGATAGAGTGAATTTGATTGTGGTTGGATGAGAAATAAAAACCATCCTGAAATTCTATTGGACTGAACTCACTCCATCCCACCTGTATGACACAAATCACATCACATCCCAGCAGGACAGAMTGTAGCAGATGGACCCTTGAATGAAGATGATCGTGGCTGAAACAACTAGTCTAGTCAGTTAATTACAAATTTTTCAACATTAATATTTTAATTTAACATTATACTCATTACTGACTTCAGAAGAAAAAAAAGGGTGGGGGTACGGTATAGATCCCTGTGGCACAGCCTGAGCTTTTATCCTTAGTGGATTTTTTAGTTGCTCATTACGTTTACTTTTATACTTTAGATATATTTTAAACCAGCACTATATACTTTTACTTCAGTAAAACGCTTGAGTTGATACTTCTACTTCCAAAAAAGAATTAAAAAACCCTATTATCTATACTTCTACTGAAGTAATGAATGTGAATACTTTTGATACCTCTGCTTAATTTCCTGTAAATTGCTTCTCAACAGAGAAAAGGCTGAACAAACAATTTGGAACAGATTACAACATCTTACTGCTTTAAAGAAGAAACGATTAACAACAAAATGGCCAATGAAAATAGGCATTTTAGGTAAGACGAAGCAGCGTGTCTCATTGTGATTATAACGTCCTACTAATAAATGTTTTATGTCCAGGATGCATGGCAGAGAGGCTGAAGACGGAGCTTTTAGAAAAGGAGAAGCTGGTGGATGTTCTTGCTGGTCCAGACGCGTACCGAGACCTTCCTCGCCTTTTAGCAGTGTCTGCCGGAGGCCAGCAAGCCAGCAACGTGCTGCTGTCTCTAGAGGAGACCTACGCCGACGTCATGCCTGTTCACCATGCTCTGAAGGGTCACACTGCCTTTGTGTACGTTTGTCCAGGCGGTTCCACGCACGCCGTCCGCAGCCGAACAGTCGACGCGCTGATTGTGGCGGTTTGGATGGAGCGTGCGGAGGCCTTTATTCACCCTGCGTACTTCCTGTCACTGTGTGTGCCTCTGCCTGCAGGTCCATCATGCGTGGCTGTGACAACATGTGCAGTTACTGCATCGTTCCCTTCACAAGAGGCAGAGAGAGGAGTCGACCCATCAGCTCCATCCTCGAGGAAATTCGTATGCTCTCTGACCAGGTAAATATAACATCTGGGCCGGTTAGGGAGACTCGTTTATCTGTTCAGGAATTAGATATTACAGTGTTTGTTTAATAGAAAGAAAATTAAGTTTGGTTTCATGGTACGGACAGGACAAAGTACAACTTAACAAATTATTTTAAACCTAAAGAAATCTTCTGTACAAAGCCATGCAGTTCCTTGTTAAATATACACAATCATGTTCATTTAGTTGTTCTGCATTGTAGAAAAACTATGAAAAATTACTGACAAACCACAAAACTATTTGATTTAAATGAATAAATAGTAACTCCTGCACAGTGACGCTTAAAGGAAAAAGTGGGTTAAGATGATGGATGGATGGATAAATAAGTAGTAACTAGGGCTGTACGGTATATACGGTAGACCAGGGGTGTCACACTCGTTTCCACCGAGGGCCACATGAGCGTTACGGTGGCCCCCGAAGGGCCAGTTCTAATGAACTTTGATGTTTCATGTTTAACTTTGACTAAACAGAGTTTTAACATGTCCTCTTTTAAACACTGATGACAATTAAGTGTATGACTGACTAAATCTGAAATAAATATAGAAATATTATTAAAAGTAAAACTAATGAAGTTTTACTCACTGATGA